AGATAAAGATTCGCTCACTCACCCGCTGCTCATTTCTTGCTATGTGGCCCATCTCCTAAAAGGCCACAGACCAGTACTGGTCCATGGCCTAGGGGTTGGGGACCCCTGTCATACAGTTCTTTAGATTCTAGTTCCACAAAAATGTCCATGGAAATGCATACTATGACATACTATGAGACATACATGATCTTAAAGTTAAGTCAGAAAAAAAAAAGTCACCATTCAGAGTCAATCATAGGTAGAAAATTTTATGATTCATCTTCTTTCTTGCTAATCTTTCAGGCACTCAACTTCACTTTGGACCCACATATTAGCCACTGAAGGGCTATCACCAAGCCACATTCCAAAGTCCCAGATCTCTCAGTTCCCATTAATGCTTATGAAAATTCCATTTCCTCCGTGTTCTGCTATCTCCAGAAAATTACTCATAGATGTCCAATTATACTAATAATTTTTAGACTCCCAGACAATACAGAAGCTCAATTCTAAAAGAAACTGCAGTAGAGAAGAAGAAAGAAGATCTATGACATATAAATGCAAAAAGTATTCTAGGGGTCATGGTGCATTTAGAGGTTAAAATAAAACACAAATGACAGGATTCATTCCACTAGGACTTGAGATGAATGGGAGTTTGGCAAAGTTGTATATACAGTTGGATGAAGGAAATAATGTAGTTGAAAATTATTCTATGAATACTGAGCACTTCAAGTTCCATAACTGATTACTGGGATGGGGAAGTCTTTGATTTTTTAAGCAATCACCAATTCTGAACCAAATATGATAGGCTATAGTTATGTTAACAATGATGATTTTTAGGAAAGTATCATTATTAAGAAACCTGATTGGATAGGTAGAATTTTCAGGGAAAAAAATAAGAAATAGACTGGGCAGGGTGGCTCACACCTGTAATCCCAGTACTTTGGGAGGCCAAGGAAGGTAGACTGCTAGAGCCTAGGAGTTCAAGGTCTGTCTAGGCAACATAGTGAGACCTTGCCTTAACAACAACAACAACAAATTAGCCAGGTGTGGTGGTGTGCACCTACAGTCCCAGCTACTCGGGAGGCTAAGGAGGAAGGATCACCTGAGCCCAGGAGGTTGCAGTGAGCTATAATCATGCCACTGCACTCCAGGGTGGGTGACAGAGTGAGACACTGACTTCAAAAGCAAAAAAGAGAAGAAGAAGAAATAAAAAACAGCCTGGTGGTGTGTATAAGTCATGAAGAACATATTGCTTTTGCAAAAGAAACATTGGAAAAGCAACTGGTTGTCACATTATTAAAATTCAGAACAATCCTGAAACCTGATTGTTTTTAAAAGGAAGTTCATAACATTTAGAAACTAGGCCAAATGTTAAATAAAAAAGGAAAAATTTAATTGAATGCTGTAAGGTCAAGAAGAAAAAAGAAAGACTGAAAATGAAGCGACTTTCCAGCTAGATAATGGGTAAAGGGGAGAAAAAAGAGGTTAGAAAAATTATGACTGGGAAAAATGTCATTGCCTAGGTGGAAATAAAACTGTTAAGTGGTAAGGTACAAAATCTCAGAGATTTTTAAGGCTTCCTATTTTCATCTGATTTAAAAAAATTTAGTTACAGTTGAGGAAAAGGGTTGCCTTATCAAAAGAACTAAAAACAACCCTGGATTATTAAATAAGCATTCTGGAAAATTAACTAAATCAAGATGAGGTAGAAATAACATGGCATGTTAATTTTACTATGGTATTTAACAGCTACTGGCTAGTTTAAGAGTTGTTGTGGAGGTCATAAATTCCTGTAGATTAAGAGAAGTTTACTGGATTATCTATTAATCAAAAGGGAAAAGGAAGCCTTGGTAATTAAGGAGCTGTCACCTGAACTTCAGTGCCCAGAAAGACAAGGACAAATCTTCAAACAATCAATTTGCAATTACGAAGAACTGAAGACAGAGTAGGGACCAATATGTCTTTTAGAGAACAATTCTGTTTCATGATGAAGAGAGAGGTGAGACAGATAAGAGGGATTTTTGAAATATTGGCTATGTGAATTTCAATAACACATTTTCACCTTAATTAGAAATTGTTTGAATTGTTGACCACTATGCTTCAGATTATATGGTATAAATACAGTCTTTAAAATCATTTTAACCAAATTGATTTTGTTTCAGAAAAATTCAATGCTCTTTATACACTAGAGATATTTTGGACATTTTCATCTGCAATCACAAAGGAATTCTACCTCTTTTGATCAGGGCATAGGTGATTTCACCCAATTTTACAGGACTGTCATGATATTGAAATAATCTGTATGGTTCTTCTGTTCTTCGAGGCAGAATGTCTGTGCACATAAATAATATTATCAATCACTTCCTAAAAAATGCTTGCAGAAGAAATCTTGCCAAAATAATACTCCAATCTTATAATGAATTGAGATTACCAGTTTTGATATATTTCTCTCAATTTTGGCTACCAATTTAAGCCTATTGATATATTTGGCATAATTTCTCTAGAATGAACCTTATGAGTATTATATCCCACCATAAAAAAGGAAAATGGTCTATCATCTCCAAATGTGGTACACATTACTTGGTTTCCATTTCCTCAAAATAGAATGGCATTATTTATCTCAACTAACTGCAGGTCTCTGAAATGAATAGCCTAGATCAGGATTGTTCAGAGCTTTTCATCGCTGAGCACTGCTATACTTCATTTTTTTCTCAAGGAGAAAGTGGCTAATAACTTAAAGCTATATTCTATATAAAATCAGAACTTTATATAGACATTCCCTCATATATATTCTGTAGTTCAATATTGAAACATAACCATTAATATTTTAACAAAACTATCAAAAAATTTCTATGAAAATATGACAGTACAAATTGAGGGAATAAATAATACTTTTACAATGTCAATTTTAACTTTTTCAAACATTTGTACAAAATAGAAAACAATGATGGCCCATAATTCTTAATCACTGTGATATCTATTTTCATTAAAAAAAATACATACAATACAAATTAAAAAATAAAATCCTTCCCCACCCAGTACTTTGTCTGAAAGTTAGGCAAATTCACAATTTTCCTGTCATCATCCAAAAATATTCTATTCAAAACCAATCTCAGTATCTATTTCATTTTTCAAATCTGCTGGGAAAATATATACTATCATGTTTCTAGCTACTTTTACTTAATAATTATTTGAAATCATTTCATGGTAGCAGATATAAATATGTATAATTCTGACTTCTACATAATATTTCATGACAAATATACCATAATCAATCAACCAAATTTGATGGATGTTTAGATTTTAGCATTGAGTTTCATTGAAAAGAAATCTTATTCTAAGTTTACATCAAGAATTGACTGGGCGATAAATAAAACTACAATTTAAGTTAAATTTCTTAAAAAGTTAAATACACATGATCATCTTCTTAACATCAAATAGGAAAAACTCCTGGGCTCAAGCGAACCTCCTGCCTCAGTCTCCCAAAAGTGTTGGTATTATAAGCATGAGTTACCACTCCAATTAAAAAAAAATTACTAGATCTAAGAAGCAGAAATATTACTGACATAAATACTACAAAAACTCAAAGTACCATGCATGCTGTCACTGCTCTCAGTAAATGCAAGAAAAAAAAAATTATTACCTAACCCTGAATTGTACCCCACATCTTTAAAATTAAAAAGAAAAAGAAAGAAAAAATAAATATTTAGAAAATTCTTACATTGCAAAGAGCACAATGAAACAAGAAGTCTACTCATATAGGCCAAATATGTTATTGTAGTTTAATTACAGTTCTTGTCTTCAATAATTTCTTATATGAACTCTAAATCTCTGTGAGATAGTCACACATTAACTATACACCAATTATTTAATATTTCAGGAATGTAGCTTTTAACTCTAATGAAAATGATTACCCAGTATAATGTAAACAGCTTTTATTATAAACATTTATATTTAAAATTATAGCATATGTTTATCATAGTAAATTTAACTTGTTAAATAACCTTTTTAAATGAACTCATCACTTTTGTGGTAACTAAACCACCTATCTTTATATAGCAGAGGTATTTGCAAGTAAGAAAGCTTAACATCCTTTCTCTTTTTTGTAGATCATTTTGGTTTTTTTTTTTAACAGATTCAAATCCCAAAACTAAAGTATATAAATAAAAAATATACTTTATCTTATACTTTTACAGATTCAGGTCCAAACACAAAGCCTCATTATCCTACATTATATAATTTATCACCAGTACTGGCAAATTAGTAGACTATTCCCCAACCAGTTTTACAGACCACAGAGGGTGAATTTATGCCTTTTTCAAGCTCAGGAGACTAATTGAGAGTATAATCACTTATGGGAAGCAAAGGAAAAGAGCCTATCAAAGAAATTCTAGACAGAGGAAAAAGGTAAAAGTAAAATTTCACTCCTATGTTTGAGAAAAATTGACAACAATACAAATAAACAAGGCCCAAACATACATATATATATATATATATCCTACTATAACTAAGACACACACACACACACACACACACACACACACACACACACACACACAGAGTCTCTCAAACAGACCATTGTAGAATAGACACATTAATATTGCTGAGACACATATCTGTGTATCAATGAATCTTTGCATAGGTATTCACGTTTCCCTGAATTACCTCACTTTCTAATACTCATGAAGTAAAACTTAGAAAACATATGTAATATTTGATGAACAAGGCAGACAGACTGGATAGAAAATAAAAGACATTTAATTTAAAAAACAGATTGTTGGGTAAGTCACAGGTAGGTAGAAAAAAAAAGAGAGAACTTTCAAAATACTGCAGAAGACTACAACATTTTAAACACCTATAAAAAGATAGGAGGTTTTAAAACAAACTAAATATAAGTAGTTAATGTAGACTTTAAACTGTGCGGCAAAGTTGAAAATGAAGTATTTCATTCAAGATTCAGGAAAAGAAAACAAGGGTGAAAGTAGCCATTACGTTTTCACAGACTGCCGCACATAACAAACCTTTTCACAATATCTTCTCCATCCCAGCAGGGAAGTCCATCAGCAGCAGCTAATTCATTAGCACAAAGTTGATCAGCCAGGCCTCCGTAGAACGACCTATACAGTCGAAGGCTGTTGATGAATTCTCTGAGTGAAGAATAAAGAAGACAATTAAACCCAAAAGTCTGTAATAAAGACCATCATAATTGGATATATCATCATGCATAATGTCTAGCATAACACTTTTTTATTGTCTCTGCTTATTTTCTTGTATTTTAAATACTTCTCTAGCCATCAAGACAAAAATACATTATCATTCAATAAAAGAAAATATGTAAGTTTATTCTTTGAATAAAAGTTTTCACTAGGTATGAATCATATGGCTCCAGGTCTAAGAGGCTGTGATTAGTAAATACGGATGCATACACACATACCTCACTTCATTTAACCTTCCTATAACTTCTCGCTGACTGCTGGCATCTAAACCCCATTGATGCTATTTATTTTCTTTTCGACATAGAAAATGTCAGAGGCTCACACCATGCTAATTGGTTGCTTACTGATTAAAAATTTAGTAGACTTGGGTTATTTTCCTATCTGGGTGTTCTCTGGTATCTAAAAATTGAAAGCAATATATCTTTACTAAATACGGCCCAAAATTCAGATGAAGGATATTTAAGAATCATAAAAATAAAATTTCTTGGAAAAAATAATATTCTGTACATTCAATATATTAACATTCAATATATTAACTAAGATGTTTTTCCTCCTATACTACTTCCTTTCTCCATATCAATTATGAGAGAAGATTCAACAAAAAGCAGGGTTTTGTTTTGTTTTAATTTAGAAATCAAAGCCTGTTGAGTTTTAAAACCAAGGCTCTGAATACCAAGAATTTGAGTTTTAGTATTTTAAAGGTCAAGTCCTAAAGACTTAGAATATGTTTTTTTTTCTTTTCTTTTCTTTTTTTTTTTTTACATTAACAAGTGTTTCTGAAGAAGAAATGAAAAGTCCTAGTCTGATACAGAGGAGATGTCTTCTAAATTAGAAGGATGGAGCAGAAGAAATGTCAGAAAGAAAGTAGACTTTAGGCATTCATAAAATAAGCAATTAAGAGGTAGCAATTATGAAAATAGAATCCCTCATTAAAATTAAAAACAAGCTATTTTAAAATGAGAGTAAAAAACAGGGGTGGCTCTAAGTCAGCTGGAGTAATTCAACTTTTAAAAATTAAATATAATTTTGACAACACTGATACTCAATTTCGTTAATTTTATAATTCATTCTTATTGTTTTTAATTTTTTGTTGTTGTTGTTTTGGTTTGGTTTGGTAGAAATAGGGTCTGCTATGCTGCCCAAGTTGGACACAAACTAAATTATTTTTAAAGAACTATTTGTGGAAATTGCTGGAGTTGATCTGTAGGAAGGATAAAAAGGATTTTCAAATATGTAGCATCAGAACGCATAGAGAAAATCAGAAGTTGCTACTGCAAGTTTTGATGAGTATTTTTTTTTGTTTTTGAGTTGAAGTCTCACTCTGTTGCCCAGACTGGAGTGTAGTGGTCGCTCCCGGCCACTGCAGCCTCGACCTGCTGGGCTCCGGCGATCCTTCCGCTGGAATTACAGGCATGCGCTACCACGCCTGGCTGATTTTTTGATTTATTGTAGAGATGAGGTCTTCCTGCCCAGGCAGGTCTCGAACCCGCGGGCTCAGGCAATCCACTCATCTCAGCCTCCCAAAGGCGCGGGATTACAGGCTGAGCCACCGAGCCCGGCTTTGGTGAGTATTTAATCAAATTTTTAGCAAAGCTTGACCATATAAGTAAAACAAAATAGCTGCAAGAAGCATAAATATGACTCAACTATAAATTTTTAAAAAGTTTTATTTTCTTACTAGCACAGAAATTATAGTACATATTTATAACTTTATGTCGGTTTCCTCTACTAAAAAAAATAAGTCCCTCTATGATGGCTATCCCTATTAACTGAAATGCATGAACAAATGTCAATTATGTTGCAGCTACTAAAACATAACTGAGAAGGCAGACTGGTTATTTTAGGAAGGTAAGATCTAAAGAATAAAAGGATGTGTGACTCCTATCCTGAATTTTATTTACTATAAATGATCACTTGTTTGGAATCAAAGAAATGAAGAGGCCCGGCACAGATGGATGGAATGTTGAGACCTTCACATTCATGGTATAAAATGGAATAGTTTTTCCTGTGAACTCCAAATCACCTACTCCAATCTTGGTGAATAGTTCCCTAGGTCTATTTCTTCCTTCACAACCTGATGGTGAAAGCTTTACATCTTTATTTTCCACTTCATGTTCCTGGCATTCTTAGTCCAAGCCATTATCGTTTCTCTCTGGATTTAGTGCTCTAAGATTATATCCCTCCAAACTCTTCCCTTAACAATCACCTCCCATTCTTTGTGAAAGCCAGTTTTTTAAATTCAAATCTGATAGTCCACAGAGTATGTCATTCACTTTCTTAAAGTCCCTCAATGACTATTCTCTACAGAATAAAAGCTAAGCTTCTTGAAAAGTCACCTCAATCTTCAGTAGCAACTCAAACCATACTTTAAGGTCCCACTAAAGTAAAGTACTTCCTGTTTCCTAAACATACCTTTGTACATATTTACTCTGAAAGCACTGTATTCTGGAAGATTTTCACTCATTCTATCAGCTTTCAGTTATTGGTCACAAAGTAATAAATACTATTGTGTACAAAGCTCTGTGTTAGCACTAGGGATTCATTCACAGGTAAAAAGACAGTCTCTGCCGTCTAAGAAACCTACAATAATAATACATTGTTAATAGTGTAGCATTTGAAGTCAGAGAGGAATCAGAAAGTATTTACAAAACAAGGTAGTGCTTCAGTGTTCCATGTGTAACAAGCTAAACAAAACAAAAAGCCAGAATGAGCAAAAGAGGAAAGAAAAGTTTGTGAAGCTTGTGCTTCTGGGAGTGAATTATTGTAAAAAAGGTAGGAAGAGGTCATATTATAATCAGTTTTATTGATCAACATTGACGTTTCTCTTTTATTCAGAAGGCAGTTGGAGCCGCTAAAAGTTTTCTAGCAAGCAAGTACTAGAAAAAGATACAAAAGCTGTGAGTCACTAAGGGTACTATAACTTCAGGGGAAGAAAAATTGAGGTTTTAAGAAAGAGTCTTCCAAGGAGCATCATAGAAAGAGATAGTTTGAAAGGCATTAGGAATCTAGAATTGGTAAGTAAAGTAAGCAAGATGACTTGTGGGGATGTTGTTTCATTCCCTGATATAAGAAATAAAGGAAATCTCACCTTCTCAATGTCCTACACTATACTTAAGATCAGCTTCTCATCTTCTAGTCAATACAGTATTTTCATCTTTTCAAGGCACATATCACTTTCTAGACTCCCATGAAATATATGTGCTTATTAGGCTTTGTTGTTTCTTATCTACCTCCTTGAACTAGAATAAAAAATTCAGGCAGAAAGAATTTAGTTTTGCTTGGTTTTGTTCACTGCTGTAGATCCTAGAGTAGTTGAGGTGTGTTTAGTAGATCCAATTAATAGTTATCAAATTAATAAATGAGTAAAAGCTAAGGAATTAACTATTCCATTCTCAACATGTTCAGTTTGAAATTTCTCTGGAATATACAGATAGAGAAATCAAGTAGAACACTACTTTCAAACTTACTATGTGTAAATGGCATCTGGATATCTCGTCAAAATGCAATTTTAGATTTCCTAGTTCTGGATTAGGGCCTGACATTCTAGGTTTCAAAACAGCACCCAGGTGATGCTGATGTTATTTGTACAAGAACCATAAATACCATTAGACATATACTGTTAAATAGATGACCTTATAACTTAGTGTACTAGACATGCAATGAGAGACCCACCATCCACAAAGGTGGTAACTGAAGTCATAAATATAGATAAAATCTCTCAGGAAAACCACATGAAGTCATAAAAAGTCAAAAGAATTGAAAGTGGAAAGAACAAAGGGAGAATATGTCAAGGTTAAAGCACTATACAAATGAAAGAATGAGTGAATCTTTAAGTTAGAGAGATTCTCCAGTGTAAAATGTCCTTATGAGAAGTTAATTAAAATACTGAAAATGTCTTTCATATGTGATTACCATGATTGTTATAGACTGAATTGTGTCCTATCCCCCACCAAAATTCGTATGTTAAATTTCTAAACCTAATGTAACTGTATTTGAAGATAGGGCCATTAAAGAAATGATTAAAGTTAAATGAGGTCATATGAGCAGATCCTGATCCAATATAATGGGTGTCCTTATAAGAAGAGGAAGAGATATCAGGATAAGAAAGGGAAGAGATATCAGGGATGTGTGTGCACAGAGAAAATGTCATACGAGAACACAAAGAGAAGGTAGCCATCTGCAAGCCAAGGAGAAGTCCCTGGAGAAAACAAATCTGCCAATACCTTGACCTTGAAATTCGACACCCAGGACTGTAAGGAAATCCATTTCTGTTGCTTAAGCCACTCAGTCTGTGGTATTTGGTTATGGCAACCGTAGCAAACTAAAACAATAACTAAAGCATTTGAAGTAGAGTAATAGACTTCACATTTGCTATACTATAAACATTAAAAAGAGGGTAAGAAACTATAAGTGGAAGTCCCAAAAAAGAAAATTAAAGCAGTTTTGTTTGTGTGTATGGTTCTTTGAATAATAAATAAATTGGAGGATACTGGAGTGTAAAAGAGAGGAGATAATAAGGGTTTGTGGTCATTAGCTTGTTCCCAAATATTCCAATTCTCTACCTTCTGGGGACACAGCCCTGTAGAAGTTAGTTTTGGTCATGTGACTTGCTTTGAGTTCTATTAAATATGTAGAAATGATGTATGTTTCCTCCAAACTTAAGCTTAAAGAACCAACATGGTTTGTGCCAGCTTCTGTTTCCTTCTACCGTGATGACTAGCAGTAGTTCAAATGGAGGCCACTCTCCATTCTGAGTGTTAAAGCTAAGGCAACTTAAGCAGTGATCCCAGCTGATCTGAAATGGGCACTGGCTTTGAAGAGAAATATAATTTTATTGTTCTAAACCAATGGTGTGTTGGCGTACTTTGCTACCACATCACAATTTAGTCTCTCTTGATTGATACAATGATTAGAAAAGAAAATTAATAATT